AATATGTTTTGTGTGGCATATGATTAGTAAATTAGCCACAACTCTGGAATGACAGAGATGGTCAGTAATCAAGATAAGACTTGGAAAGGAACGTTAAAGGAAATTTTTGAACAATCTTAACCTTAAGAGGTTGAACCAGTGAATAAAGAGATTGGTTAAGACCATAAGAACGTGTGTCAAATGTCACTATTCATTGGAATGCTTTAATGGAATTTGTATGGAAATATATATAGCAGTAAAAAATGATTGGTTGTCAATTTAGCCATAGTCAATGGTGGAATAAAATGCTTGAATGTTAGAGAATTGATCAAAATCAAGGTGGAGGAATTGTGGGTGGTTATGCAAACATGCATGACTAACGATATAAGGTTAATTTGATTAAGGTGTAACTAGAAGTGATGATATATTTGAAATCTCCGTATAAGAAGAAAAATAATAATGATCTTATTTAAGAAATGTATTACACATAATTGTATGTATTATGACATTGTGAGTTTTCTATAAAGATTGGAAGTCAATAAAATGAGTATATCAAAATCTTATGTTAAGAATGCCCAACGGAAGTGATGTGGAAAAATTTTAGAATTTTAATTATTCACTCTATGTTGATTTAAATTCGAGGATGAATTTGTCTTAAGTGGAGGAGATTGTAGCACCTCGTACCCCCGTTTAGAAGTTAATAAGACTCTATTAATGAGAAGAAGGGTCGTTTGACATAAATCTAAGCGTTAGAGAACAGTAACAAGTAAAAAGAATATTTTGAAATAAAGTATTTTATGAATAAAATATTATTAAAATATTAATATTTTATTTATTAGTGAGATTAGTTAAAAGAGAGGGTTATATGATTAATCTATGTGGGGGAGAAGAAGAAAAGAAAAATTCGGAAGAAAAATTCGGAAGAAAAATGAGTTAAAGGGAATCGCGTGTTTTTATTAAATAGAGCACAAGTGGGTACGTATATATTTAAATATTTAGGTGACACGATGATGGGGTGTAAACTTTATATTATATTTATACACATGTGAAGGAAGGAAATAGAAGAAAATTGGAATTTAAGAAGTGATGCGAGGACTTAATAAAAAGGATGAGAACTTAGGAGGCTTACAAAGAAAGCTTTGACTTTTGTTTTTCTTTTTCTCTCTCTCTATGGCCGGCCACCCATATCAGAGCTTGTGAAAATTTGGTACAAAGAAAGAAAGGAAAGGTTGGGAGCAAGAAAAAGGGGAAAGAGACAAGAAATTTTCCCATTTGTTCACTAAATAAAGAGCTTTGAATTTTCTCTTGCCTTTTCTTTCCATTTCATTCTACATAGCCGGCCAAATGGTATAACCTTTGTTATTTTTTTTCTTCTTATTCTATTAAGATACTAGAACCTTCATCCTTCATTCTTTAATAATTTTTTTTTTGTTTCTTTTCTTTCCACCGTCACTTTTCTTCCTTGTGCATTTTTTCTTCCAACCGTGGCTTTCCTCCATAGACAATCGTGCCTCAAGTCTTTCCTCAACTCTTCTTCCATGCTTCTTTCTTTTCTCCTTCCCCTCATGAATTGTCTTCCCTTTTGCCTCCCCCATAATCGAACCTAAGAAGGATTTCGTGGTTTGGCTTAAAATTACAAGGTAAGGAAGGTAGAAATTGTTAGTTTGGTTGAAAGCATGCTTTGTAAATTGATTTTAATATGTAATTATGCTTGTGGCAGTAGAGGTAATCTTAGATCTGAAGAGGTTGTGAATTATATATGGGAAATTCAAACATAAACCGAGAGATAAGCATGCTAGGAGAGTATATTGCGTTGCATGAGTTTGGTTGGTTAAAGTATATGGATTCTGTAATAAATGTTGTGGGGGATGTTGATAAAAATTTATGAGATTTAGTTAAGGATTGTTAGTTGATATGCTGCCATTTGTGAGTGTAATTAAATATATTGGGCTTGAATGGTTGCTAGGGAAAATATAGTAAGTAACGTAAACGAGGCGGCGTGTTGGAGGAAGTAACAAGAGATTGGCAAGTAGAATTAGCTATATATGCACTTGAATTAATAGCAACAATAGTGTCCCACTATTGTAAGGTGAGTAAGGGGTATCCATTGTAAAATTTCCTATGATTATGCATATATATATATATATATAAATATGTGCTGATCTATTTTTAATGAAAAATTGTTGAAAGCATGAGTTGGAAGACATGTTAGGAAATTGTGGGTGTTATGACTTTGAAAATGGCTTTGAAAATATATAAGCTATATACTTATATATAAATATACGTAAAGGTTCTTGAAATTGGGAAACAAATATTCCTTTATGATTTATGTCAAGTATGTGCCTTATAGTTTGTGTAATATGCATTCATGATGGAAACATATACTCACCATGCTAAATGATCTTTTAATCTCATGTAACAAGTTATATTTTAAAGTTTTACACGGGATTTTATCATATACTATGTGAACATTTTGATAATGGTTTTGCAATGAATTTTGGGGACCTAACTATATTTTAAATGGTTTTATTAAACTGGGAGATTCGAGAGTAGGCTGGTTGTCACTCCGGTTAAGTGTGAACCTTGTGCAAGTAAGCTCTAGCTAGAGAACCTTTGGGACGTCGACGAGCTGTTAGACATGGTTGGGGCCAAAGTCTATGATTTTATGTGACTAGGCCACAAGTTGTTATACGCGGTTGTGATCACCTAATTTTCTCCGATGTTGGTCAACATCGTTGAGACTGCCAAGGCATGTGGGGGTCCATGGAGCGGAGTGCCCAGATGTTATTACGTGGAAGCAGGTCCACGTGCTTTTATTTCTATTCCCACTTGAGAGTGACATCTCTTTGGGTTTTTCACATAAGTAATTTTTGCATGGTGAAAAATAATACTTTTTCTACTGCTCCCTTGCTTATATGATGAAATTCGATTTAATTCTTTCTGTATGAGATGAATTATGACATTGCGCGTAAGCTTTGTAAAATGTTGGATTTTATGGGAGCACGCATGATGACATTTAATTACTTTAAACCTG